TAGTAAGTCATTTGTAAGTATTTGTAAGTCATAAACTAGAATTTGTAAGTAGCTCATTAAGATGTTATCTATATGTTAAGAAATCGAGGCTAACTTCTCGGGAGCCTCACTTCTGTTGAATTTGCGAATTTTCTTATCATCAAGAATTAGTAAGTCATTTGTAAGTATTTGTAAGTCATAAACTAGAATTTGTAAGTAGCTCATTAAGATGTTATCTATATGTTAAGAAATCGAGGCTAACTTCTCGGGAGCCTCACTTCTGTTGAATTTGCGAATTTTCTTATCATCAAGAATTAGTAAGTCATTTGTAAGTATTTGTAAGTCATAAACTAGAATTTGTAAGTAGCTCATTAAGATGTTATCTATATGTTAAGAAATCGAGGCTAACTTCTCGGGAGCATCTCTTCTGTTGAATTTGCGGATTTTCTTATCATCAAGAATTAGTAAGTTATTTGTAAGTATTTGTAAGTCAAAAACTAGAATTTGTAAGTAGCTCGTTAAGATGTTATACAGAGCTTCTCGAAAGTAACGGATAAATTATAAAAAACCGCTGAGAAAAATATTTCAAAAAAATCTGTCGATTTTTACTTTTAAATTATCGTTTATGTATGTCAAGAAACGTACAGGCTGATTAATTATAATTTCCCTCCTTCCCCAGTTAACTTCTTTATTTTTGGTTTAGAAAAAATTTAAATACAAAAGTTATACAGAATAATATAAAGAATCGTTTAAATATTACTGTAAAATCATATTAGTGTAATGTTTTAAAAACAATACTTCTAACTCTTACATATTTTATATTTACTATAACTACATAATATAACCACAAAAAAAACACAATTCAAACTAAACAAACGTCAATTTCACAGTGTGAAAAAGTTAGTAAAAAATTTAAATACAGTAGATTTTACATAATGGAAAAACTAGAAACAAACGTAACAAATTTCCTTCCTCACCCTGTTCTTCATTTGTCTGGACAAGCTCCATCCCCTCCCTGTTGCGAATCTGGCAATGCACTTGCACAGCCATGGTAAAAAACAGGGAGCGAAGTGTATTAATGATTGACGCAACGGGGTTTTTTGTGTAAAAAGTTAGAGAAACCAAACAATAACAAATCCAGTCATATCTTTTTATATTAATGTGTAATTCATTTAAAAACAGAAAACGGACCGATACCAGTTGGACAAATGCTTTTAGAGAGCCACAATATTAACCAAATAAATTTTTGCTTAAGTGAGTGGATGACAGCTGGATCAGTCCCAAGTACAGTAATTAGCGACCATTTCTTAGCACTGCTTGGTGCAATTGCTAGATGTATTGCCGGTGAGGTCAACTTATCAACGTATATGGAAAAGTGCCTTACATCGCTAACAGCAAACCTGAAGTAACAGTCTTCATATGCATTGATTTTGCCCACACTATGAAACTTGTAAGCAGGTGGGAATGTTTTAAGGGAATTCCAGGACCAGTAAACAAATTTTTTTTTTTCCTGTGATTATATCAGATTTTCACTTTTTTGTTTTTAATCACGGTGACACCGACTTTAGAATTATAAATGGGACACTTTGTATATTATTACATTTTCAGAAACCTTGTGACAAGAAAAATTCAACGATACCACGTTTGTAGAGGTTTTCTTGAAAAATAGCAAAATCATTGACAGCTGAATATAAATTATCTATTACTTTCAGGCCTATGTTCAAAACAAAAAAGTGAAAATCTAATTTGATCATAGAGAAACATCTGCAACTGCGGATGTTAGTACAATTCCATACTAACTACATTTCCATAACGTTAACTGTTTTCGAAACATTTCCCTCTCTAAAACGTCGTGGGCCATCCTGTATTATGTATATTTAAAGAAATAGGGGCTTTTTTGCAAATTAACTTTTCACCAAAAATTAGTAGGTAGGTAATTTGTAAGTATTTGTATGCTATAAGAATTTCTAAGAACCTCGTTAAAATGTTACATAATTAGTTGTAAAGTAATAAAATATACTTTTAAAATGCAAACAGTAGGTAAAGATTATATATAGCTCTCAAGATTTCTATAAAAAATAAACTACAAAAACTCAAATACATTTTTATTAAATGTTTAAAAACAAACATATCATAAATATTTATTATAAACTAACAGTATAAACAACGCACACAAAAATATAAAAATAAGTATCTACAGGGTGTATATACTCGTACATTAATACTGTATACTTTATAGTATGAATATTGTGTAATTCAGAACTTTTACAGATTGATATTTTTTTATGCATATCATTATTTATATATCTCCCATGCACCGTCGTTTCTTCTACATAGACAATAATAATGTCCAATTCCGGCCCTTGTAACAGGTGGGTAGATGCCGATCACGAATCTACAGAATTTTGGCATGTATTACATTCAAAAGGTTGTTTAGATGTCAGCAACAATCCTAAATTTTTCACATTCTGGGAACTTACACAAAATTGCTCGGGAAAAGTACACCTACCACAAAGATAATACTTCACAGCACTTTTTAAGCCCTGGCAAATTTTAGTAAAAGCCGAAATTATATTAAATTGACAGTCAATACTGGGGAAGGGGGGAAATTGTAATTAATCAGCCTGTACGTTTGTTAACAGACATAAACGCCAATTTAAAAGTAAAAATCGACGGGTCCGAGGACTTTTTTGAAATATTTTTCTCAACGGTTTTATATAATTTATTCATTACTTTCGTTACTCTGTATAACATCTTAACGAGCTACTTACAAATTCTAGTTTATGGCTTACAGATACTTAGAAATGACTTACTAATTCTTGATGATAAGAAAATTTGCAAATTCAGCAGAAGTGAGGCTCCCGAGAAGTTAGCCTCGATTTCTTAACATATAGATAACATCTTAATGAGCTACTTACAAATTCTAGTTTATGACTTACAAATACTTACAAATGACTTACTAATTCTTGATGATAAGAAAATTCGCAAATTCAATAAAAGTGAGGTCCCCGAGAAGTTAGCCTCGATTTTTTAACATATATATAACATCTTAACGAGCTACTTACAAATTCTGGTTTATGGCTTACAAATACTTACCAAATTACTTACTAATTACTGGTGAAATAAAATATACAAATTGAACATTAAGTGCGGCTAACTTCACGGAGCCCTCGTATTTGGTGCACTTGTAGCTAAATCAGAGTAAATATCCTCATTACTGAGTGAGTTTAAATGTATATTAATTTTAAATAAATTGAATGGCGTCGCACTATGAACGATTGGAACTACTTTAGTGTCAAAATCATAGAACTCTGGATAGAAAAAAGATAAAAAGGTTTAGCAAGCGGTATTTTAAAGGTAAAAGGATTACCTTTTAGGGAAAAATATCGAAAATGCACTCGATTTATTAGGCTGCTTTCAGGGAACGTTTAAACCTCGGTTTTTTCAATTTTTTTCGATTTTTTTGAATGCCACTATTTTTCCTCATCTGACTACTAAAAAATACATTTTTTTCAGAAAGTAGATTAAAAAATCTTCAATTTCCATTTTGGTAAAATTTATTTGAAATATTATATCTTGAGTGATTGTCATTCGAAAAGTTCAGTGTTCATAAATTTAGTTTCTAACAGTGTTATATCAAATTAATTTGTCCGTTTTCATTCAAGTTCATTTAAAAAAATATTTTTATTAAAGTATACGTGACACTAATTAAATAAATATAAGTATTTAAGTTAGCATCAAGCTAATAATTTTATAGTGAAAAGTGTTTTTCAGGAACATCGATCATTATTAGAAAATATATAAGGAAACGGAAGTTCGGTCACATATTGAAAGCAACGTGCACGAAACGTATCTTAATTGCACTTTCATTGTTAGAAACAGCATGTTGAGCTTGAAACTCTACTGTTATTATTGTTTTCAAGTTTTAGAATGACAGTACTAGTGATAAAATCTTATTGAGGCTGCATTACTGGAGTTTGTAAAGTGAATTATTAATACTTCCATTAATTTATAAATGAGCTTAAAATAATTTCATTATAAGTTATTGGTCAATAAATTTTATTTTCAGGTAACCACCATTTTTATTTATCAGGCTACTTTGATTGAACTATGACATTATATTTTTAAAATGCTTGTAACTTCTAAACAAAAACGAATCGGACCTGTGTTCATAATATAAGAAATAATGTTTAAAATTAATCCAGTTACCATCAGTTATAGTTTGTCATAGAGTTTGTAGAACACCCTGTGGGGAACGGTTTTTTAACACAATTTGAGAACGTTAATGTCAAAAAAACGGTGATATTTTTTAATAAGTTGCTTAATTACGTCTTTAAGATTACAATGACGCTTTCAGAATCATGTTTGGTTGAAAATTAACGCCTGTACAGAGGCTTAAAGTTCATAACTTTTGGAGCCTCCGTTATAAACAAATTGAATTGTGCTAAAACTATTGCACCTACAGCGCCCACTTTTGGTACACTTTTAAAGTATGACAAAACCCTCAACTTGTCATAGGTTTTATAAAATTTTAACAATAAATGCGATAGTTATAAACAAATTAAAAAATGAGCACTTTTCTTGTTTTTTTGCGATAACATTTTTGTTTATTAACCGATTTTAATTTAACAAGTCTCATTTTGTAGATAATTTTACTCCCTACAAGCTGTCTGCGAGTCACTTTTCGCTAAAATTTATGGTTTTCTCTGCAAAGTGAAAAAACTGTTTTCCTCACTTATTTGTTTAAATAGAAAAGTTAGCTAATAAAAGTTTTTGACTCACGAGACGAGAGATGTCTTGTATTATATTCCTTTAGACAATTTTACAATAATCTCGCGGATAGGACTTTTTTCGAGTAAAAATTTTATTTGCTTCGCTTATTCGTTCAATGAGACATTTGTGCATTTAGGTACATATTTTATATACAGACTTTAATATTAGTTTGTCATTGCCTGTGTTAGTTAGGTTCGAGGGTAATATTTTATCGTTAAAGACTTTTGATGACCTTCAGCCTTACTCACCTGAAGGACGAGTGTCTGATTGCTGACGATGACTCCCGCCGTGGAATTGCTGAGCAGTTTCTCGCCGTCTCGGAGCCACCACACCCGGTGTACCTGGAATCAGTTCGAAACTCAATTAAAGTGGCTCTACCTACAGACAACGTTCGTCAGAATGCAAATGAGACGGGATGCACGCCGTCGAATGTTGCCGCAAGACACGAGACCAGTATGGATGGTTGTAGAATAAATTTGTTTCAATTAGTATAAAGTACGAAGGATGCTACAACTGTGATTTTTTCCATAAATAAATATTCATGCAGTCGCCGACCATGCGAAAAGTTAATGATTTTTCTTTTTCATTGAACTGCGTTGCTCGCACTCACTTCGTTTATTGCTATGATGAATTTATGCAAGGTGTAACAGTGATGTTGCGACAAACTTTAAGAGTGATTGCTCGCGTAAAAAGATACGAGGGTAATATTATTTTTCTAAAAAAGTTCTTAGGAGTTTTATAGGTCCTTTAAAAGCGAAATACCTCCAGCAGAATTTAAAAAAGTCAAACTATATAAAGATATGTTTATGGAGGTATTTGTTTAAATTAGTGTCTACTCTTTAATTAGGCCGAAAAAAATTAACAAAGTTGGAATACTGAAAAATAATTTTAAAATTGTTGTCGAAAGTGGCATATGGGCTAACACCTGTGCACAAATAAAGATCTTTCTTTATCAAAATTTCTCCAAACATAGGAATTTCATACGTACATATTTTTTCAGAATACCTCCAGTGTTACTATTATTTATGGTATAAATAAATTAAAGCACCGGTGCCAATTGTTATACTTTATAATTTATATTTTTACAACCACCATATGAAAAAATATTTACAAGTGGTTATTATTAAAGAAATGAATTATGAAAAGCATACAAAAATTAAAAGGAACATTCCCATATACAAAATTAATAAATTGCAAAATATTTCAGCAAAAAAAACTAACAAAAATTATAAGTAACATTTTCCAAAAAATAAAACAGATATTTCAATAAAACCAAATATGAAAAATATTCAATAAAAACAAAAAATGCCAAAACCAGATCTATAAACATATCGTAATATCTTTTCTACGTTTATTATTAATAAAATCATCAAAAAATCATCGTAAAGTAGGTACATAAACATTATTAAAGGCCGCACTTAAATAAATGCTACTTGAAACATCTTCACGATTTCACCACTTCCATCTGCTACGATCAATCCTATTTATCAAAGATGCGACCTCACCCACTCAACATTTCTCGAAAATTGAGCTCGTGATGTCTAAATCACTTTTTTATGTTTCCCAAAAAGAGGAGAAATCCTCCTAAAAATGTCGAACTTGACCCACCCTGTACAAGATTTAAATATTATTTAAATATTTGCCACATTTGACATATAGATCGATATATAACGAGTTTTGAATTATTTTCTAATTAACAAAAATTAGCAACACTAAACAAGTTATAAAATGACATTCCGTACGACAGGAAGTAATTTTTACTCAATCAACTCCTTATTAAGTGGTATCTGTAATTATTATCCTAAATCTTGCTACATTTGGTTCTTCTCATTAAAGAGTTTTTTTCGAAGTTATAACAACTTTGGAATTCAGGAACACAAGTTTGTATATAAGTTAATTAATCTCATTTTGCGCTGCTCTTTAAGCACTGGTGTCAGTTTATTAATTAATCACCCTGTGTATTCAAATTTGGTTAGAACATTTGCTTATAGTAAATTCCTACATACGAAATTTGAAGGGATTTAAAAAGTTTTAAGTCGCAGAAAATCTTTTACAGATTTGGATTAACTATTTCGAAGAAAAATATGGTTTCTCTTTCCCGTTTTTTTTTTAAATATCCATGTCCATATCCAAATATTAAAACCATGACAATGTTAGAAATAGATACGTTATCCAAGAATCGAAGAAATTTCGTTCTAATTTCTCAACAGTTTTTTCTTAATTATCTAAATCATAATGCGCAATTCATCTATTAGGATGCCTTTTATTCAATTAAGCAGAAAGTTGAGGAAAACTTATTCAAATAGCTTCTCTAGTGTCCATATTTTTTAATTCTTTAATACATAGCCACCAGATGCACTTTTAAAACTTACCACTTTTGCCAAACAAAACAAATATTTATGAAAAACAAATTTATCTTATATTTTCAGCATTAAATTCACAATCGTCAATATATGTCCCAATTACGTTATTTCCTTGATAAATAGATTTACAAAATTTATTTTATTTAAATTCCAACAACATTTTACAAATGATTAAAATTACAAACCTCACACCAAACAGCAAATACAAACATATATAGCGAATATAACCACATTCCCACAAAATGTGTAAATTAACAAATAATAGATATGATTTGCACATTTTGTGTTGGGAATAACCAGTGCAACTAGTTAAAAGGTGAAAGGTTGGAAATATTGCAGATGACGCTAAGCAAATATTTGATAGCCTATACATATAGAACACCTAATGTTGAATGCTCAATCAAATTTTAAAGAGCCCAACAGATGCTTGATTGTAGGTTAGATTAATAGAAGTCACACACGACTGCTTGTGGTCAATGGTATTACACAATGTTATTTCCAGTTTGGGCGTAATAGTTTGAACAAAATATTGAAGATATCAAAATAATTTAAAATATTGTAATACTTCAGTTGTTAATGGGAATAACTCAAACAATTAGATCAGATCCAATCAAAATTAAATTTCTTTTTCTGAATTTATTTCTCACTGGGAAAAATCAGAGATAATTTAGAGCTTCTGATGACATGGAAGATTTTCTAATCCGACGCAAGGTTTTAAACAATCTAAACAAAGATTTCAAGAAGTGAACTACAATAACTGCTTAACTCTTGAAGGGGAAAAAATTGGTCGTTCTTGGAATGTTGGCCAAACTTTAAGCTCTAACTGTTTTTCCTCCCAGATTGAAAAGAAAAATGACAAGCTCTACAATGCAAATTACTGACATAACAATAATAAATGGACTAGTGAAATATACAATAAAATTTAAGTAAATAAAACGTAAGTAAAACTAAATAATTAATGTAGGTATATAATAAAATTATTATATAAGTCTTGTATGCATATGTGCCAAAATTATGAAGACGACCACAACCTTTTCACATCATATATTTTTATAATTCATATTGAAGCTACATTTTTGGATTATTGCTGAACTTGATAGATGTATTTCTCTCTAGTAAAAAGTTTAGAGTTGGAGTAGGTCGCTCTCTCTCAAATAGGCAGGACTTCTATTCAGGAATACCTCAAGGACGTGCATTGGGGCCAGTTCTCTTCCAAGTATGTATATGTAATAATTTAGTAAGTTTCCAATACATGACAATTAACTTTGCAGGATCCCTATCCAGTGTGATGTAGTCTTCAAGTTGATATAATTGTTATTGATATTCGTGTGGTGGTGGTCTTTAACTCTTCATATAGATAAATACATATTCCATCAACTCGATTATAATGATCTAAGGTGTACTTATCTCCTGTTATCTGGCTTGGTAACAATGTGGAAAAACAATAAGATCTAGATATAATAATTAATAACATATTGTGTTGGCCGGATCAAGCTGCCTCTATGATTAAAAAGGCTAACACACACAATTACTTACTAAGAGGTATTCTGTTCTGTTTTTGCACCTTTACAAAATATGTATTCGATCTCGTTTCGAATATGATGTAGCGGTTTGATGTCCCTATTTAGTCAAGGATATTATGGTCTTGGAAGGAAATTGAAAGGAGTGATAAGAAGATGTTTATATCTTGTATAAATCTCCCATACAAAGATCGTTTAAAATTGTCAAAACTTTCTCTATTACAGACGTAAGTGAGGTAAACTCACTCATATGTTCAGTGTTATTCATAATATTTTCTCTGCTGACATGTCTCTCTTACTTGTTTTTTAAATGATATAGTAAACGCTACATTATTTAATTTTTAACTTATATACATTTTTTTAAATGTTATTTCCATGTTTACGTGTCTGTACTCTATTAATATTCGTGTATTTTTATAATAAGATATTTTCAGCAGTTTCGGGAATAACTGATCTTTCTCTGTTTTATTATTTGTTAGAGGCAAAAATAGTTTATATTAGTTTCATAGAGAAAATATGTACAGACTAAATTAGTTGCTAAAATCAATCACTTCTGTAAGCAATTCTCTGGAGTTCTCATATTTAAATATGATCCAACCTCAATCTGCTTAATTTTGTTACAGCGATTTGTGAAGTAAAACCACCAACGTAGGAACAAAATGTGCCTATTTTTGGAGAATTTCGCCTATTCAGTAATTTGCTTACAAAACTGTTTCTACTTTCAATAGCTTATACAATTTCAAGTGAGGGGGCCGTACTTGGTAAACTGAGGTGTTAACCTAAAGCAAGATTTAATCGAATGAATTGTCGCTTTCAGTACTGAAATTATCAATAATATTTCTGAATAATGTCTTTTAGAGTTAGTAATTTGGAGTTGATAATAATTGAATAATTTTTTTCCACAATTTAAGCTTTAACTAACACACGAGTTCAAAATAAAACGATCGATATTGCGCTTAGATTCCATTTGTTCATTGTAAGTACTTGGTGGTTTTTGTTGGTGTGTAATTAAGGGAAACTTTTTCTGTAATAATTGACTTTATGTGTGTTTAGGATTGTCACATAAAGTCAGTTCCAAAATAACCTGTAGGTAATCAGTAGCTTGGTCTTTTGTCATCATGTCGCAACCGTTTTTATTTAAAATAAATCCTATATTTTAGTTACTTTTCATTTCTTTAAGCCCAATATTATATGATTTTCTGTTATTTCAGTAGATTTTTAGTAAAACTTCTAGTTCTTCATTCGTGGTAGATAGAAATCCATAAAATTTTGTTTTAGCAAAATTTTGATTAGAAATACGCTTCTTAATAAAATTGTAAAACCATCAATAAAGTTTTTACGAAACACGTAATCTATCACATTATTTGAAAAACGGGCCATATTTTTTAAATTTAAAATAAGTTTATCATGCATTTGAATAAATCTTTATCTTTAAAATTTCTAGCTTGACGCTAAATA